CCTACACAAAGACAAACTTGGAGGATCTGTACTTCGACGATGATATATGTCTGAATTCCCACAAACTGGAAGATATGCAAGTGAAAAGCGACAATTTAGCAGAAGAAGAAGCATCAAAGATAGGACCTTAGGTGAACATAGAGAAAACAGATGTGGTGATGAAGATTCCTGGCCAACACCAACAGCAGCAACAACAAACAAAAATCAGCATAAATGGGAGGAACCTGAAAGAAACGACCTCCTTCACGCACCTGGGAAGCATCGTTTCAACTACAGGCAAACGGAACTGATAAGGATATCAAAGCAAGAATCAGAAAAGCAAGACAAGCTTGCATAACTCTTAAGTCTGTGTAGAGATCAACAGCACTCAACATGAAAATAAAAATAAGATCCAGATTTTCAACTCCAATGTGAAGCCAGTGCTACTATACGGATCAGAGACTTGGGGCTTCATGAAGAGCATCTCAAACAAACTTCAGACCTTCATTAACAGTTGTCTTCTCTCAATACTACTCAAGATCAGATGGCCAGAAAACATCAGCACCAGGGGTCTCTGGGAGCGAACCAACCAGAAACCGATTGTGAAACAAATAGGCAGGAAGAAATCGAGACGGATTGGCCATACACTGAGAAAACCATCAAGTGACATCAGTAGATAAGCCATTACTCGAGTGGAACCCGAAAGGGAAGCGGCGAGTTGGTCGTCAGTTCAAAGGTGACTTGGAAGAGGTCATGTGAAGAGGAGATGAAAGCATGTGGGCAGACTTGGAGTGGGGTGAAAAAGTTGGCAAGAAACCGAACACAAAGGAGACGCGCAGCTGAAGCCCTATGTTCCTCTAGGAATTAAAGGATACAATAATAATAATAATTTAATATTCTCAATTCGTGCTTCGAATATTTTTGACTTTATACCGTAAATGTGGACAAATTCGTCTGGTTAATTTTGTTTTAATTTTTAATTATATTTTGAGTAATTCAGATGTAAGATATTGTGACGAATGCTAAGAATTCCATTCTGTATTATAAGTAGTGCTGTTTTTGGAATAAAGTAGATTATTATTATATAATAAAGATTCAACTTTCATACCAGATGTATACATATGTATTGATAAAAATTGAACATAAACAATGTCTGCACACACACATACACGTGAACGCAGTGCCAGACAGAGTTCATGCAATATTACAACTATACGTACATATATATATTTCGATTGATTATTTCATAAATTTAAATTAATGATTTCAACATTAGATGATAGTTTTCAAGGTCGGTCAGATGGAACAATCGATTTTAACCATTCTAGGGCTAATCAACAACAATACATCCGGAAAACATAGACTTAGTTTTGTAGAGTTGGTATTTCCGAAAAAATGCTGAACAATACCAGCAAAAAAGAGCCAACCATCTAATATCAACAATTCAAAGTGCGCCATGATGACAAGCCACCTAGAATGGTGACTAGCCACATTACAAATCTCACTCATGATAGAATTCAGACTGCACGCAAAATAAACAATTAGACACATTATCCTAGTTACTAACTGGTGTCCAATCAAAAAAAATATATCCAATACAGTCACAGTCCAACAGGAGTTCAATCACCGGGGCCGAATAGCTCAGTGGTGGTAACGTCTGCGACTGTAGTACTACTCGTTGACATGGGCTCGAATCTCAGAAGAAAGATGAATTTCTTTAGGAAGACTACAGATACATGCTTTGCTGGATGACTGATGAGTACCGACCAGCATGAAACCTTGGTTTAAGGATTCCTATCGATCTCTTGCCTCTAACCATCCAAAACTAAGGAAATTTAGATAAATATTAGAGAAACATGACATGGAAGAGATTGTATGAGCAAAAATCGAAAGCTTATAGGCAATTCACTTTAAAGAGACAACACAGAACAAAGTGAAGTCGCGACGTCCTCCTGAAGCTATATTTATTCTATGAGGAACCCAAGGGAATAAAAATAACAATATAACCGTATTAAAGACATACAAAGAGCCATAATCATTAGGTAACAACTCAACCTTCCATCTGATCTGTACATAGAGACAATGAACTATCCTCTATATTGTCATCAAAGACAGTCTGGAAGTAAACCACACAAGTACACATCCTTTCATTGTTGTCTTCGATGACATCTACATCACTGGTCATATACATTTCCAACAGGTTACAGACTTTTTATCAACAGCTAACCTTGCTGACTCCGTTATGAAGGAAGGAGGGAATCAGCAACAAGAGGCTCTGGGAACGAATCAATCAAGAACCTACTGCTTTACAAATATACCAGAGATAATGGAGATCGATAGATAATGCTTTGAAGAGAACGTTAGGTGACATTGCGCGCCAGGCTATCACTCAAGTGGGAAACTATGGGTGGGTCGTTGGTATAATCCACCTGGGAAAGTTCACACCTCAGCAGGTAAAGAGGAGCTAGAAACTGTGACCCATTACCGAAAGTCGAGAGCCTAGACCAACACAAACCACAACTATACAATAGTACAATTAAGAAAACGAGGTTAAATGAACTGCGAATACTTAGTGTTTACCTGGTACAGTTTATCATAAACAAACTTAGGGCTGTTGAGGTGCAACACTCAGTAGATATGTTCCTATACCCATGACCACAGTAATGTTAATCGCAACAGTTAATGGCAGGTGGTATTCGATTAGTTTTTCATTTAATATGCTATGATACTCATATGTATTTCAATTCTTATAAAAAATGTCAAGATGAATAACTAATAAACTTATACTGACGCGATTCCTATGTTGATCACATCAATATGACTGTCTCGGTTAGACAAAAAAAAGATTTCCCTTTTAAAAAGTGGTTTAGTGCTTCGAGGTTTCTGCATTGATTTGATTAATTTTCTGGTATACAGTTGTTACATCCACGCTCAACCTTCCCTCTTTGCCAAGTAGTAGACTAAGCGAAGTTATATAAGGCATATCTGAATAAAAATGACGTCGCGTTGGAGGTTTACAGTCGCGTGACACAGTGACACACTCAGGGACGTTACCATTAAGCAAGATACAGATTTATTGGTTGAGGTAAGAAGGCTTGCAAACTATGTTAATCCTTTTCTAGTAAATTTTTTGAACGAATCAGTTGAGATTGCGGACACCACTTCTTCTGGGAATCGGTTCCAGGAGTTTATGACTCACTCGGTGTGAGAACCAGTACTCAACAGTGATATGATTTATTCTTGGCTTTTGAAATCTTCTGCTATATCCTCTAAGGTGTTCTGACCTGGTGGGATGGAAAAGAAAGAATAGGTCAAGTCAGCAAGACTAATGTCAAACCGGTGCTTCTATATGGTTCAGAGGATTGATATATTACGAAAACGATTTCGACAGGAAGGTTTCATTAACAGTTATTTCCGCTTCGTACTCAAGATCAGACGGCCAGAAAGGATTCGTAACAGGAAAGTCTGGAGACGAACTAACGAAGTATCTGTTACCCAACAAATGTGCAGAAGGTAATGGAAGTGGGTTGAACACACTCTGAAAAGACAGTTGATTGACATCACAAACACGACGCCTTCGAGTGGAATCCTAATCCTAAGAGAACCTCCAGTTGGGTGAGATAGAGGGGATCATGTCAGGAAGAGGTGAAAGCTTATGCGCAGTCGTTCAGTCAGCTAAATAAGAATACAGACAACACATTGAGGCGAACATGTGCTATTGAGGCCCAATGTTCCACTTGGAACCTAGGGGAATGCAAATTTCATATAATTAGACAGAAAAGGACTTGTCGATAATATTCACCAATCAGCTTTCTGAAATACTAAGTCAAAGTTTTCCTGTCTGTCTGTTTTCAACGTACAACTTTGCACCGATGTCCAGCAGTTCAAGTCGCCACACTCCATGTGGCGCACAAAGCAAGAGAAGAAAGTAGAAGAAGTGCAGTAGACAGGGATGTGAGACACAAAGAATAGTAATAGCGAGAAACAACATAGTTTCGGTGGAAATTAGTCACAAGGATTGGATGCATCTGCGCCACTGAGAACGATTTTGAGCCATATCACTGATTGTCTACAGTATTCATTGGTTTTTACCGTCTCAACGACCCCAACCAGTCAGGAAGTATATACCTCCCTACGTGGCTTAACCTAAGTGTTGTAAATTTCATTGACTGGTTCCGCCATGTTTTGGTTCGACAACCAATGGTTCTCTCTTTTCCAACTTGATCCTATGTCAGCTAACATTTCCCGTCGAGGAAGGCGATGACTAGGAGTGCGTAACACATGTCCTAAACCATCTCAGTCGATGTAATTTCACAACCTCGTCGATTGATTTCCCCTCCTTACCTAACACTAGACGCCTAACCTCGGTATTGCTTATCCTACTACACCACTTCACAAGTACGATCAAAGACAACTAGTCTTTTGATGTCCTCCACTCTCAAAGGCCAAGTCTCACCGCCATAAAGGAGGACAGAGCGGACTACTGAGCAGTATATACCCCCTTTGATCGATAGCCAGATATCACGTCTACGTTAGAGACAGCATAAACTGGCATATGCGAAACGAGCCTTCTGTATTCGTGCTAAGATTTCGTCAGCGACCAACCCGTAGGGAGTTAATGTAGTCCAGTCGTGTAACATCATCTTACATTTAGCGGGAGCGAACCGCATGCCAAACATTTGCCCACTGCAGCTCAAGGCGTTCAGAAGACTTTGAATTTTGTCAGCGCCTACTTCACCTGCATCTGCATATTCTAAGTCAACGAGATTATTCCCTGAAGTCACCTAGGGTTAAGTACATTAGTGCATGTATGATGAAAGTGAATAGAAACGAGGATAGTGGGCATCCCTGACGGACACCACTAGTTGTCAACACTTCAGATGACAAGATAAAACAGTTTATTAACGATACCTGAAAAGATGCAAAACAAAAATTCAACAAAAAAAATCAACAGACACTAAACTCTGATTTAAGTGAAAACTACGACGAAAATAACAGTTAAACAAAAGATTTTTAAAAGACTAAGCGAAAACATTACAACCTGTAGACCAATACAGAGTGACAGGTCTAGATAAACAAATCAAGTTGGAAATACAGTTATATGGGTCTTGTGAAAAAATTGCCTCATTATCTAGACTTAAAAGTGTTGTAGGCGAACACAAATTCGAAAGAAGATCATAAACATCATGAGTAGGCGAAGGAGTACAATTGTGAATAGTTATCAAAGAGGCAACACTTAACCTTCCCTGAATTAACTTGATATAATTCATAAAGGTATTTTCACTGTTAATTAACTCACTGTTTGTCATTAATAGAACAACAGAATCACCTGCAAATAAGGCACATAAAACAATTTTCAATAAAAAAGTATACTTTTTAGAGTCAGACATAAATCTACAATCTACGATAACAATGATTGGACCTGATGGTTTTAAACAAATATGAGCTAGTGGAACAAGCAGTGCTTCTTTCTTTCTCTCCGTCAGAAATTGTTTCCCTGGATCTCCTAGCAGCAGTTTACGACTGTAATCGATAACGTATTTGAAAGCCTCTTTCTCCAGAGGAATACCAGGCAATACTTCACCTTTTAAAATTTCGGCTTGAATCGTCTCGTAACCTTTACTAATCCAACTGACTTGAGCACTGTGTGCAGTATTGATGAGAGATGTTATTGTTCGATATAGTGACGTCTCTGTTTCCAACATACAATTACCACTACCACTACCGCTGGGGAGGAATGATGACCCGTTTATTTCAAAAAATCTTGTAAACATTGTAGCTGCTAGTTGACGACTAGAAGTATTCACAAAAATATTATCCACACCAGACAACAATAGCAATTGATAAAGTTGCCAAATCACATTAGAATCAGTCTGCCACATATTTACTACAGTTTCACAATAAGTTGATGGAATATTATTCAACTTGTGATTACTCAAAACATTGACAAAATGTTTCAGAAGGGAGACACCTTCTTTAACTGAACGGAAACATACAACAAATCCAACAGGTCCACGATGTTTTTCCAATTTGATAAGTGATGGAGCGATATCATAAACAATAATTGGAAATTTCTGGGCATTTTGATCACAACATAGAATGCTTGCACCAACAGTATTTGCCTGAGATTTTACTTCACTAATATAACTTGCACAGTATGATGGATAGTCAGATGTGAAGCTGTTGTCTAATGCTGTAGCATTCGTTGAATTTGAAGTCAGAATGTTTTTCACTCTATCAATAAAACGTTTGTGGACAGATTCTTCAACTAGAGTAATAGATGAGTGCCACATTCCAGTGCCCAAAGTACTTTCCAGGGAAGACAAACAGTACCTGGCGGCTGAATCGATGTCAGATGTTTGGAAAACCATAGATAAAGTTCGACTTACACCACTTTTCTCTATGCTTTTTGAAACCGAGGGTAGAAATGCAAACAAATGATTTGGTGGCTGTGAATTGTGGATAATTTCAGTCAGCATAAACAATGGAGCCATTATTTGTGGTGATTCACATTTAACTACTAAACCATGTGGCTTCCCATGATAGACAGGGCAGCATAAATAACGGAGAATAAAGGTAATATGGGAGAAAATATCACAATCACCATTTTCAATTATGTGATTTGGACAATAGAAAAAGCTTTCTTCCACGCATGGATATTTCACAAAACTTTTCACTTTTCTAATAATTTCATGGAAAATCTCACGATAGAAACTTGAAGACTCAAATTCAAGGGAAGCAGATATACAATCAAGTAGAGAGGAAATATGATCTTCAACAGAATTTGCAAGTTTCTCTATAAATTTGACAACGGATATGGGATCGTATACAAAATTTTGTGCGAGTTCTATTGATTCGGAGTAGGCTGAATCACATACCATCACTGAGAGGTCAAGAGAACCTACGTGAACCTTCTCTATACTTTCAGTCGTCCCTGTTTCAAGAAAAGCTCCTTTGATATATGGATGAATCCGATAACTTTTGTTTGATATAAGTCCATTGGACTGCATTTTGTGAAGAGGATAGGTAGGTAACTCAGAATAAGGCGAAAGACGTCTCGACATATGCTTCTCCTCTTTCAAATACCGCGTTAATCTCAGGGTCAAATATCCAATGTCGTTTTTACTAGCTAGTATAAACCAATTTGATTTCTTTGTGCTCGCTTCTTGATTGTAAGGTATAAGTTCCTGATCTCTGGTAAAATTCTGCGTAGCTTGTCCCGTCACTCGACTGTCATAGCTTTGGTTGACTCCAAAGGGAGTAGTGCTGGGATTAATTATATGTGGTTTGTAGTATGAGGTATGTTACTACTGTGATTGGAGTTGATCCTTTTGCCATTTAGTCTTCCGGTATCGTCGACAAGAGAAAAGAGATAGTAATAATAATAATAGATATAATCAGTGAAGTTATTCAGACAGAAACGGAAGTAGGAAAGCGTAACAACAGTCAGTTGATTAAGTTTGAAGAATAATATATATACATACATATATATATATATATCGGTAATAATAATAATAGTAATAATAATTATAATATTAATAAGTTGTCAGGAGAGTAAGACGGGAGAGAATGTAAAATAGTAAAACAACGAGTTTAATTGTCTACCCCTGAATGGTGTATGCGATTTTAAGGCGATAGGCCATTTGGATGCAGTCCTTGTGTCGCAGCAAGGTTGCCCAGCCTTCGCTTAGAGGCGTCCAAAGACGGTGCCATAGCTACATCTGCCGGCAAGGAATTCCAGGGACGGCAAATCTTCAGTGAAAAGAAGCGGGAGCGCACCCGGGTCCTTGCCCTCTGGCGAGCTATCCTTCTGGGATTTCCACGTGGGAGCCTATACCTACTCAGTGGCAGAACACCTTTGTTTGGGTGATTCTGGTCATTTGTTATTTTGTAGGCAGTAATCGAATCCCCCCTAAGTCTAAGGTAACTAAGTGTGAACAGGCCTAATTTCTTCAGCCTTTCATCATATGGTTTGTTTCGGAGACCAACCACTCCTTTTGTTGCCCGTCGTTGGACTCTCTCCAAGAGGTTGGCATCTCTTCTCAGCATTGGGGGTGCAATAATATTATGCACCTCAAGGTGTGGCCTGACGTATGTTTTGTACAACATTAGAAAGAGCTCAGGAGTGAGTGCACCTAACTGTCTATGCGTAAGGTGTATGACCGCATATGCCCTCGCTACATCCCCTGTGTAATTTACGCTTGTGTCCATTTCTCCGTTAGAACTAGACCTAAGTCGCGTTCCGACGTTGTGCAGGACAAGCTTTCATTGCACAGGGTGTAACTTGCATTCTGCAGTCTACAGGTGCGTAACTTCACTACTTTGCACTTTTTCAAGTTGAAAGTCATCCCACTGGCCACCACCCAGTCTTCCAGAAGGTTTAGGTCTTCCTGTAGCCTATCTGAGTCCTCCGGACACTTTATCGCCCTCCATGTTTTTGCGTCGCCAGCGTATAGGAGAGTCGGGCAGCTTAGACGGCGCGGTAGATCATTGATAAAAATCAAAAACACCGGTGGTCCTAGGATAGAACCCTGCGACACTCCTGATGACGAGCTGTGCCAAGATGACCGGACTCGGTTAAGCTTAGTGTAAAATTGCCTGTCAGCTAGGTAGTCCTTTAACCATGACAGAAGTGGCTCGCCTATACCTGCCTGGCTTATTTTATGTAGAAGGTCATGGTGAACAGTGTCAAATGCCTTCTCAAAGTCCAGGAAGACCACATGGACTGGAACTTTCATATTCCAGCATGATGTCCAGTCGTCCCAAGCTGACAGTAGGTTAGTAACGCAGGATCTGCCTTTTCTGAAACCATGTTGGGCTTCATGTAGTATATTAGTCCTATCGAAATATTCCCTGATTTGGTCGTCAATAATACTTTCCAGTACTTTTGATACCACTGGGATACCACTGGTCTATAACTAGTGGCGTTTTGCCTGTCCCCACATTTGAAGAGTGGAGAAAGGATGGCTCTTTTCCAGTCCCTTGGCAGTGTCCCCGAATCCATTGAGTGTTGGAACAAGTCGCACAGGGGCTACAGAGAGCTTCGGCACACTGTTTCAGAACAGATGGCCTGATGTCGCCACAACCTGGGGACTCCCCAGGTGTGAGTCTCTATAGCTTCCTTAGTACTGTTGCGGGGTTTATTTGGAGAGTAGCCTCTAGGTCTTCCTCCTTTGAAATAGTGATGCCACCATTTTGGTCGGTAACTGCAATATCCACATTGCTGTTTAGCTGTTTGGCGAAGGCTGAAGTGAATGTTTCAGTCATCTCCAGACTAGTGAGGTATTGACCGTTTGGGCCTACTAAGGCGCATGCCCCTTGGTTTGTCGGTTTTCTTTCCGACATGAATCGGTACAAATGTTTGGGGTTTGCTAGGAGTTTCTTAGCAAGGTTAGCCTGGAATGACCTCCTGTCCCTCCTGACTCTTACATTACACCGGTTCCTGAGTTTGAGGTGTGCATCGTGGTCGGTCTGACCCTTAGATACACGCCACGTAAACCAAGCCTTCCGCTTTGATTGCAGAATACGTTGCGTGCCTCTCTTCAACCATGACGTCTTTCTCTTGGGCTGTGTTGTGACTAAAGGGACGGTATCTGAGATTGCTATATGAATAATCTTTTTTACCACTTCTCAGTGTTTATTCACAGACAGGTCGTCCCATGCTAAGGGCCAGTTTGCGTCGGACAAGAGCCTCCGCATTTCAGCATAGTCAGCCTTGCTGTAACACAGACATGGTCTCGTAACATCCCACTGAAAACGCTCACGGAGAACAAGATCGAAACCTATGACTGCATGATCACTACTTCCTAGGGGAGTCATTATCTGGACCTTTTGGACGAGTAGTTGGTCACTAGTTAGAATATAGTTGTCAATGTAGTTGAATACTGAACGATCAATTCATGGTTGTTTGCTCAAACCCAACTTCCCCAATTTTCGCGGAGGTATCAATAAGACAGTCATCGTCTCATCGGCCGCTGTTCAGAAAGAAGTCAGCAGCAAACCGTCAGAAACCTTAGTTGTAACATTGTTTATATGTTGGTGTAACAATAAAGAATCCTCGAGTCGCCAATTGGTGTTTTCGTCATTTCGTCCGTTATAACTAAGCGTTTCTGAGAAACTTCAAGGAACAGCGTGAGCCCGAGCGTAGCAAGAGCTGTGCATTAACGGTTTACGAGACGTGATTGACAGTTTCTGACGGTAGAAACAGATTCTGGCGGATTGAAACAGTTGGTGAAAGTTGGGATAGTCGCCGTTCATTTTTCCTGGTGCCGGTCAAGTCCTCTTTGAACAAGCAATATCTGGAACGTATTTGGAACTGGGTCAAGTTCAACAATGCCTGGGTCAAAGAAGGGACAGAGCGTCTTGGATGCAAACAGGAAAGTAAGTCATGGTGACTTGTCTGTTAATTGTAACGATGTGTCTGATGTTAAGCATGACATGGTTGATGTTACTGTTTCGCCGTTCAGGGATAATAGGAACATCAAACTCCCTAAATTTGAACCATGGTGTTTTGATGGAAACCCGGCTGATTATTTACAAATTGTAAAGGAGTTTGAGATCATGTTGAGTAGTTTATTATTAAATGATGAATTGAAGTAAATGTATTTGATGAGGTATTGCACTGGAGATGCTTCAAGAGCTATACAGTGCTGTAAGTTTATGAAGCCAAAAGAGGGCTACTACGAGGCTATGAGCATACTACGTCAAAGGTTTGGAAGAACTTCGATGATTGTAGGGAAATTATTCGAGGCAGTTAAGAGTAATGGTGGTCAATTACAGGATGACTCCCAGGAACTCACTGAGGTTTAAGATAATCTTATGACCTATAAGAATACCTTGATTTCTATGAATTGCATGAGTGACCTCAAATCGAGCTCAGTCCTAGAGGTAATTAAAGACGCCTACCTACTCGACTGCAAAGGAAGTGGGTGAAGATGGGCTCCCGTATGGAGGATGAGGGTATCGAGCCAAGGTTTGATGATATTGTGAGACTGGTAAAGGACAGTGTCAACCAGGCGATGGGCGAATTCGCCAGCATTTTGCATTCTAAGGTAGAACCTAAGGACCCAGTGAATATAAGGAAGGCATGTGTGGTGAAGTCTCAAGACACAACGAGAAAGGATGAGTGTATTGTTTGCCATAACATGTATCAATTGAGTGATTGTAATCGCTTTATCGCTATGTTACCCGTAGAAAGGTTAAAAATGGCAAAGCAGAAGCGGCTGTGTTTCAGTTGTAATAATAATAATATATATTCTCATTTTTTACATGAGGGACGCCAGTTTACAGGCATCAATTCGAAAAGTTACACATACGATTAGTAAGCATATTTAGCAAAGATATTGTAATGGGGTACATATTTTCCTAGCTATGTAGGATACACCAATTGTATAGGCATGCATAAATATTGTTTTAATAATAATAAATTCCTTCCTGTTTATGCAGGAACATACCTATTGTACAGGCATGGATAAGTTATTATATAAATTGCACGTAATTTGATGAATGATGAATTTACAGTTTGGTTGTTCTTTCTGACATCAAAGTCAGTCGGAACAGTCTGCTCTAAAGTCTGTTTGTGTAGCACATAAAGAGATATAGAGATATTGTCTTCGCATTAACAAAGAACCCAGACATCAGATGAATGTAATACAAATATCTGGGAAAAATAAAGCTTGAAGTCAATTCTCCTATATAACTTTGTTGTGAACAGCACCCTTGGCTTAAAGTTTTTTGATGTATTATGTTGAGATCAGTGATATATTTATTCCATTTTTTCAGTAGTCTTATCGTAGTTTTATAACAGGAAAGAAATTTGATCGTGTAGGCGAAAACTAGATAAGGTCATGTTGGGTTGTTTTACTGCATCAAGTGGTGCCGA